CTGCACCACCAGCGAGGTCCAAGGTTCTTTCTTTTGTATAATTTTCTCCTCTCTCAACAACACTGCAAGCACAATTTCTTCATTTCTTCACAAGTACAAAGGTACTTTTCATATGAAGTTCTCCCTATATGGTACTCCTCTGACTTTTCCATTTTTAGGCCTGTTGACAGCTTAGATGTCAAAGAAACTGTCTTTCCATATTCTCAATATAAATTGATGCCCTCTGTTTAGTCTCTCACTCCATACTTTTCCTTTAGAGAACTATCACAGTTTGTAATTGTGTTTATTTTGTTACTATCTGACTAATTTATTTCCTTTACAAGATTATAAATTCATGAGGTCTAAGACCAAGTCATGCGGTCTAAGATCAAGTCACACTCTGACCTCCATGCCTTCCTGTCTCTTATATTTTCAGCAGTGCGCTGGAAAACAAGCTATTACCTAATAAAACTGTTCTAGAGAGGCTTGTCATATCTTCAAGTGGCTGAATGAATAGATTGGTGGCCCTTGTGCTGGAGAGGGCCAAGTCACCTTTTCCTGATACTCTGCTGGCCTACCATCACTTAATGGTATACCAGATTGCTATTTTGCTCTACATAGATTTTAAGCTCTCCATAAGTCATAGAAATGCACATGGTTTATGAACCCCTATTCCACAGCCATACAGGTTAACCTGCTAGATGAGTGAATGACTTTGTTTGTTTAATAGGTGGATACTTTATGAGAAAAAGGGCAAAGGGTTCACAACAGTGGATGTTTCATGTTTTCCTCTTACATCTAAGTCTAAAATGTGCAAGCAAAGCAACTGCATCTAATGACCAACTTTAGGTGACCTAGAGAAAAGTATAATAGACAAACAAGAGTGACACTCCCAAAAGGTACAGACCTGAATTAAGACCTAAGGAATTTAAGAAAAAGAAGCAAAACGAGAGGACATTAGGAAGAAGGTACAGAACAACTTTGGGTCAGCTACTTAGATGCTCCCACGTTCAAAGCAATGGGTGAGGAATAGCAAAGTTACTTCAGTCTTTGAACAATACCACATTTCTTGACACCCTCTCCAAATAGGTCAAACAGTAGTTGAGAACAAAACACAACAGGATCCAATAGCATAATAATTATATTTTCTTCCTGACCCCAATCACCAAAAAGCATTCTACTCTGTGTGGATGCAACCAGAGGGTCAGCATCAGGAGATTTTCTTCTTGGCCTGGTTCTCACTGGACCATCTCAGTACTTAATCTCAACTAAAAAATGAAAGTACCAGATCTAATTTTCTATAGTTCTATACCACTATGCTGTAATACAGGAGTGGTACCAAAAAACCATGGAGTTTACAGAGCTGTTAAACTCTCTATTACTCAGGCCAACTCAAATATTCTCTCTTCAATTCTCAGAAATAAATTTTAATAGGATACTATAAAAGTGATATACCAGATACGACAAAAACTCAGGCAAAAAAAAAAAAAGATAATCAGGAAACCATTATATAGAAGGTATGACTGAGAGAAATGAAAATATTTAACTTGGAAAAGCAAAGAGAAACTGAATAGTCCTCTAAGTATCAAAAGATAAAGGTCATAATGGTGTCTTACTCTATTTTACTTTGTAAGACAGAGTTCACCAATGCAAAAGCAGGCAAACATTTGATTCAAAAGAAGAAAGTTAAACAACCTAGCGAGGTCTTCAAATACATACATTTTCTCTGAATAAACTTTTTTTATTACTGGATTTCTCAGAAGCAAAATTAGTAATTCTCTGCGCTATTCAGTGCAGTAGTCTCAAAGTTTCTACAAAGAAATCTGAGGGTCACATATAGTCTCTGCTACATATTCTCCTTTGTTTTTATAACCCTTAAAAATAATGAAAAATATTCTTAATGTGCAGTTTACACAAAGATAGGTATTTCTAATCACTATTCTAGAGGTATTGTCCAACAGAAATATGAATCATGTATGTATTTTAAAGTTTTCCTAGATCTAAATAAAAAAAATGGTGGTTAATTTTAATATTTTACTTAGTGCTCAGTAGCTGCAGGTGGCTGGTGGCTATCACTACCAGACAGAGCAGTTCCAGAGAAGCATGTCACTGAGAAAACAGCAGAGATGACCTTCCAATAAAACCTAATTCTAATGATTCAAATCAATGGGGGAAAACAACTGGGATAGTCTATATCTGACTACTGGTATGACTGATATGTACCTGGAAAAATAAAGCTCGATTCTTTTTTGTATCATACTCTGACATAAATTCCAAACAGAAGTGAGGTGTCATTTTGAAAAAAATGAAATTTAAATGACAAGTAAAATGAGAAATCCCCTCTCCTTCTCCAGATGTTATTTTAACCATGTGATGAGCAAAGACTGAAAAAAGCCATTCCCCAGAAAACCTGAGTTTTGTGAGTCAGGTTCTACAGATAGGAATTTAAATGTGTATGACCTTCCTTAAGGGTAACTTTGCAATTTGTATAAACATGTACCCTGCTTTTAGAAATCTTCCCTAAGAAAACTTTAAGAGGAGAAAAAGATGAAGATGCAAGGATATTCACTAAATATGAGAGAAAACAACTGGCAGTCACTTAAATGTATATCAACAGAACTAATTAAATAAGTCCTTAACAATGTAGGTTTCTCATAGCAAGATGTTAACATTGCTGGGGAGGTTGAAAGGGGGTAATACAGACTATTAAATAACATGCATGTGGTCCCATCTGTGTAAAATTTTAAATTTTATATAAATATATATTCACAAAGAGATATTTGAAGGTTATTTAATAAAATGTACAGAGTGGCTATCTTTCAAAAGAGGTAGATTTGGAGTAATTTTCTTTTATGACCATATACCTATTTATCTTTTTCAACTAGCATTCTTAGAAATATCTTTTACACATGTCATCATAAAAAGTGCTACATGATGGAGCCCTCCCTGGCGGCACAAAAAGGTTAGAGCACAGCACTGCAAGCTAGCTGCAGCTGCTTCAGTATGAGTTTGATCCCCAGCCCTGGAGGTGATCCACATGGCATGGCAGACCTCTCCTGACCCGCCGACTGCTCCCCTCAGCAGTGTACCTCATCGATCTGCCTGTTTTGCTTCCCACTCTGTCTCCGGTGAATCCTCATGCTGCCTCTGCACTTCTGGCCTATACCCCAGTTCTGTATACATAAATAAATAAATCTTTTTTTAAAAAAAAAAAAAGTGCTACATGCACTATTTATAATAGGAAACAACCCAAATTCCCAAAAATAGATGACTGTATCGAGAAGAAGATATGGTGTATATACAATGGAATACTACTCAGCAATACAAAAGATAAAACTCAAGCCATTTGCAGCAACATGGATGAAGCTAGAAGGGATTATGTTCAGTGAAATAAGTGAAAAGGAAAACGAAAATTATTGGAGGGTTTCACTTGTAGGAGGAATATAGGGGAAATAAATAATGGGTCAGGAAAAAAATAAACAGGCAACTATAAATCACAGGCATTCTTCAGAGGGAGAGTAAGGAGAAGGATCAAAATGAGGGTGGGAAGAGCACAAGAGACTATGGTGAATTGGATGAATTGGTGGGGACTACACCTGAGAAAAGAAAGTAAACATTATACAAAAATGAACAATGATTTAAAGTATAAATATATATATATATATATATATATATATATAAGTGCTACATGCACCACAGTGTGGTGAGCAGATTCTTCCATTATAATAACATTGTCTGGTTTTGCATGTGCAAAAACCATTATTAGGAAAATCTTTTTAGAGTGTTTTATACAAAGCACAGTGTGACAAACTCATTCATTCACTGAAATAATGCTACATTAATTAAATGTGCTTTTTAAAAAAAAAGATTTATTTATTTATGAATACAGAACTGGGGTACAGGCCAGAGATGCGGAGGGTGAGAGGATTCACCAGAAACAGAGAGGGAAGCAGAACAGACAGATAGTCGAAGTATACTGCTGAGGGGAGCAGCAGGTGGGCCAAGAGAGGTCTGCCTCGCCATGTGGATCTCTTCCTCTCCTCGGGGCAGGGGGATACTGAACTCATGTGGAAGTGGCTTAAGCTTCTTAGTGCTGTGCTTTAACCCACTGCACCACCAGGGAGGGCCTAAATGTGCTTTTATGGAGTGTCATACATGTACCACAAAGTGGTGACCATATCCTCTCATTGAAATAATAAGCATGATTATTTATTATAAAACTTAATTTTTTAAGTCCAGAAATTCTTGAAAGATTATAATTGAACCTATATAAGGCACAGGAAGGACATGCATTTTGATTCCATCTTCTTGTGATGAATAATGTTACACAATCAAATATATAAAAAAAGATAAAGACATCCTTGAAACTTAATGCATAGAATGTAACACAAGAAGAAAGTATCTAATCTAGGAACATACCCAGAGCTAGTATGACCAGAAAAATTCCCCAGATTTTGCAGATATGAAAACTAGGAACAAAGTAAAATTTTTCATACCTTCATAATCTATCAAAAAGCTACCGAAAATAAGTGAAATAAAAGTCACATGTATGATCTTTTGCCGGTTTGCTTCCATTCCTAAGGAAGCTAAGATGCTGAATAAACAGACATAGAAAAGATAATTTCATACAATGTCATTTTCAGCCACCAGGCTGTCAAAATTTGGGGTTTATAAAATCTAAAAATCCCACATATGGGATGCAAATAAAATTTGACTCTAAATAATCTTTTCTTTTCCCATCACTGGTATCCTAAAAACCCTAGAATTTTTTCTCTCAAATAATGAGAACCTCATGTGGGGCTCACTTACAATGAACTCAGAGGAGTCCCCATTAATAAAACAGATGCCATGAAATAATCAGTGTACTCCTGGGGATGGCTTCTAAAGGCAAACAGTAGACACAGAAAAAGATGATCAATGTTAAAATGTTTTCTTAATTGGGGGGAAAAGTCAACAGCTATTCCAAGAGTTGAAGGCAGCCTTTTATTGAACTGCACATGGAGACATTTTAAGTGCCTTACCTTTAGGAGGAAAATAGGACTTGCTTTCAGCTTTGTGAGGCCAGTCCACAACCAGAGGCCCAAACCTGCGAAAGCTGGCAGTGATCTCATCTAAAAACAAAAAAGGAATCTGAGCAAAAAGAAAAAAACATCGAAGATAGAGAAGCATAAAACATGCATTTTTATTTAAAAAAACATTTTCAGGACTATTTTCCTAAGCAACTTTACATAAATCAAATTCACTAAAGGAAATACCATTGCTGGGGGTGGAGGGGAGGTAGTACATTTGGTTATTCACTTTAGCCATGAGAATGTGTTTCTAGCTATATTTCATTTCCCTTCACTGACAATAAATTTGATATAAAGAACCTGTATGAAAAAAACTTGACATTAACTAAGATTACCTCTCTGTTAAGTAAAAAGAGATTCTCAAAATAGGAGTGTTCTGTTTTAGAAAGAAGCAAAACCAAAAAGGCAAAATATGCTTTCACCTATATGAAATAATCTCTACAACCTCTGAGGTTATTATTCCTAGACGATGATTATTACTTATCAATCTAAAATTATTAATCTAAGATTACTTTAGAGATAGATCATGATTCTTTTGGTGAGCAGTAGAATCAGTAAGTAGGTAATTCTACTGCTTTTTGTTTAAAGTCAACAGTCTCTTTCTTTCAGACTGTATATCCTCTAAAGAAAATGTTTCAAAAATTATAGCCAATAAATCAATCTTTTCCTTCTGCCTTTTGGCTAAAAACAGAAGGTTATAATTTAGCTCCCATTCATGTTTAAGCTGCCACTCTCTCAGCCATGACCAAACTTTGTCTTAAAGAAAAATCTAGTAGATGGGCAAGATTAACTTTAGCATAACAACAGTTTAGAGGGAACAGTCTAGCAATAAAGCTACTGTTAGAGATTATTTTTCTCTCTCATGAAAAGAGAAAAATCATGATGTATTAGAGAAATGTTATAGCTAGAATATTGGTGAAAATTTCTATTTTAACATATTTTTATAGCAGATCCAAAGCCTACCTACTAGCACCAGAGCTATATTTTTCCCTTAAGTTAATTTATTTTGTCCATGCAATAAATATTTTTGACAACCTATGCTGACTGGCTTTGGGCATAAGTGAAAACTCACTTTCAGACTGGTGGTATCTGAAAAATATTTTTAAGGAAAAGTCTAATTAGACTTCATTCTTTGACAGGCTAAATGTGGATTATGCTTCTCATTAATAGATTATCTATTAAAATATTTGATGGCATGTGATTAATAAGCCAAAGATCTGGAATCAGACTGATTTTTGAGCTCCAACTGTACCATTAGCTACATAAAGTTGGAGAAGTTGATAAAGTGTGCCTTATGGGATAGTTTTGGGGATTAAATGAGATAATGTAATGAGAAGCACTTAGCACAATATTGGGCTAATGGTAAGAACTTAATAAATATTAGTGCATTATTATTTTAAAATGCATTCCCAAATTAATATTCAGAAAATGGGAAGCTACGGGGAGACTATCTTGTATGAACACAAATGAACAGCACAATCTATTACTTCCCCATCTATCAAATATTCCTCTCATTTCCAGTACTTTAAGATAGGGATAGCTTAAAATTGGCATGGAGAAGAGAGGTGAGGCAGTCAAATGACACAAAGAACAAACCTAGTCTTTACAAATTAATTAATGAACACATAGTACCTTCATCGATATCAGGAGGAAGGCCTCCAACAAACACCTTTCTAGAGTAGCGTTCTACTCGTTCTCCATTTTGACAGCGAGTGGGAGAACTTAAGCCAGATGATAAGGATTGATCACCATGACTGTCGTCCAGGAAAGCATCTTCAAAGGGAAAGAGAGAAGACCGACCTGAAACAAATGTGGGAGTTTCTATAGTTAAAATTATTTTCTTGGATAACAAACGTTTTATTAGGAACCAAATTGCAGAGCACAGCATACAAAACAAACAAAAGTATTCTGAGTATTTCAATAGCATAAGCAACTATAGATTACCAGGTTTAGAAAAGTTTATACCATCATTTTTTGTGTAAAGGTCTGTATAATTCAGAGGTGAATGGACTGATACTAAGCAAGAAGCATCAAAAAATTCCAACTATTTGACCGTGAAAAAAAAATCACTACATTTTACTAATACAGTCCCTATCACTGCTACTTTGAACAGAAAGTTTAAGTGCTGCTTTTCCTTTCCCCCAGTTGCTTCTTAAAATAAATGGGAAAGTTATTTTTATTCACAGATTTTTCTTTTCTTTTTTCATGATGACCTTAGAGGTTCAGTTCTAAAGATCAGCTCTGTTAATTAAGACTGATAACTTCTCTTTTGAGAACAGGACTAAAGATAATCACGTTTTCTTTGCCGTTCCAAGGCACTTAAATTTGAAAATAATCACTTGCAATAATAAAAGGTGAGAGAAGTAAATGAAAAGAAATTACAGATGTAATTTGGAATTACAAATGTAAATGTGCTTATAACATGTTTACTCTGCTGATCCAGGTGACATTTTGCACAACTCAAAAAGTGATTTTCACTGTTAACTCTATAGTCAAATGGTTTGTTGGGCAAAGGCACCTAGCAATTCCACATGACTATAAAATATCATTCAGCCTAATAATAAATATAATACAATAATGCCACCTGATATTGCATAATAAATCCAAGTTTAAAGACAAATATATTTCCTGTTTGAGTCAGTGAGTTCCTGGCAAAACTTTCCTCTGTATTCTACTCCAAAAATTAACTGCTTTGAGCACTCTAACTTTTGAAAGAAACAAAAAAAGTAAATGCATATTCTAAAAAGGTATCTTCCCCAATTATTTTGTCTATATTTCCCTAAAACTATGTACTATGTCACTATAGCCAGTGTGCAAAAACAAAATATAAGTAGCCTTGGAAATAATGAACATTTCCATCCTTTAACAAAAAAGTTACTAACGTAACTTTTTTTTTTTTTAACATACAGATGGTATAAGAATGACACTGCTTTGATATTAGGAGTAAATACATAAAAGAACCAAAAACTTTTTTTTTCTGTTCTTCCAAGCTTAGCTACAGAACAAAAGAACAGAATAAAAAAATGTCACCTAGATTTTTCAGTTGGATAGGAACAAACAACTGACAGTAAGTTTTCATTCCTTCATGTTGTTTTGATTACTGGGGGAAAAAATAAAACTGTAGCAACTATGGACAAAATGAGTTTCCCAAAGAAATCTAGGAATGTTCTTCCATGTCTGTCAGTTTTACTTTTTACATAATCCACACTCAGCAAATAATATAGGCACACACCCAAATCAGCATTTCCCACAGAATGTTCCTACCCCCACCTTTTATCTGCAACACTAGCAATATAAGATGCTCAGAAAGCAAAAGTGGAAAGAGGGACAACTAATAATATTTAAAAATATTGAATACTTTATGATTCTCCCAGAGACACAATTCACATTAGAATACAAAAGACGTGGAAAACCTCTGCAGTAAAGAAACTTAATCCAGCATTACCTGAACTTAACATTAAGGCCCTTCAACATAAATAACTCAGTGGAAAACACTTGAAGACAACAGGATTGTACATTCCAGGAACACCAAACAAATAATTTATGTCCCTGAGTTTGGTGAGAGAAATAGGCACGTCCATAATTACTAAACAGTGACACAAGAGCACAATATACTGTCTCACTAGAGCTATGGGGTGTGTTGGGAAGGGGGCAACCGGGGAATGGTGGTGGTGATGAGACAGTTAGAGTGATTTCACAGGAGAGCAATCTTGAGCAGAATTTTGTGAATGTAGGACTTTATCTGCTAAAGAATAAGAACCCATAGAGAACAAACTTTCAAAAAAACTCTCACCTTTCCCTTTATAGAACTGCTTTACATTCCCTGCAACCTCAATAAACATAACTATTATCCACACCCAATTCAACCAGAAATCTACAAGTCACTTTAGAATCTCATGTCTAATCCATCTCTCCTAAGTCCTACCAATACAGACTACAAAATTAGTCTTCAATCCATTCCCTCACTCCATCTTCAGTCCTAGCTCTGGTCCAGATCACTATCACCACTTTCCTGAACAGTCTAATGAGTCCTCACAATAGCCCGTTTATCTACTGATTTCTACCTGTACTCCACAATAGTCTAAACCCTCTCAAAATTTTTTCATGGCTTTGGATAAAGTAGACCATCACTGTAAACAATATGGTCTCTGCCTCACTCTACTACATCATAGTTGTTGCCTCTCCCTCTAGTTTACTAACCTCCAAAAAGGCACACCTGTGTTGAGCTTCCTGATTATTCTTCCTAGTCTCTGACCCTAAACACAAGATGTGACCCTCCCCCTCCAAAACAAACATACCTTTCTCAGCTCCTCATTTTCTATTTAATTCCAATTAATTCTTCAGGTCTGTGCAGGAAAAGTTATTGTCTAAGGAGGACCTTTCTGACCTTTTAGAATTAGGTTAGGTCCCCTTTTCTGCCTACTCATAGCACTTGCTCCAGTTCCCATTATTTATTATTGGGTTTTTATTTGGTATTTAATTCCTGAACACCATCAAATGTAAGTTCCTTTAGGAAAGGAACAAATTTAATCTTGTTCACCACTGTATCTTCCTATCCTATCCATTATACTAAATGTAGGCTATAAAGGTACATAAAAGGCACTGAAGATATCCTATAAAAACTGAGACCTTTCCAACATGGAAGCAGCCCAAATGCCCAAAAGTAGATGACTGGATAAAAAAGATGTGGTACATATATACAATGGAATATTACTCAGCAACCAAAAAGAGAAACACATGTCTTTTGCAGCAACTTGGATGGAGCTGGAAAAGATCATGCTTAGTGAGATAAGCCAGAAAGAGAAAGAAAAATACCGGATGGTTTCACTCATAGCAGGAGTATAATGGACCAGGCGAGAAAATAACAAAAATAATGAACAACCATATACCAGAGACATTTTGTGAGGGTGGAGTGGGGAACGGGATCAAAAACGGGGGGTGGGGGGAGGGAGGGAAATGCATGGGACTATGGTGGTGGCACACGGGTGATTTGGTGATGGGAAACCCGCGGGGATTACAATCAAGATGGAAAAAAAAATGTGCAAAATGATGTAAAAATAAACTTTTGTAATAATTAAAAAAAAAACCTGAAACCTTTCCTATTGCTTCCAATTGTTTAAACATTGCATCCTATACTCTATTTTTCAAAAGCAACAGGAAATATCCCCAATTTTCAAATTAATATGTTTCATTCTAATACTTGTTCTCTCTCTCTCTCAAATTATACTTACACCCTAGAAGACTCTGATCCTGTCTAATCCATCTTGCAACTTGTCAGAATGACCTCTATAAAATGTTTCTGGCAATGTTATTCTCTATACTTCAAATCCCACAATAGCCATCATCACCCCCACCAACAAAAATAGAGTTGAAGAAATCTGAGGCTGCCCAGATAAGAAATGAAATCTTGAACTAGAGCAATGAAGGAGAAGATGTTCAAGACACCCTGGAACAAAGACAATTTTCTTTCTTCAAGGCCAACATAATCACAGCTTCTCCAGAGTATTTTAGCAAAGAAAATAAAAGAGATAACTGTAAAAATTCTTAAAGTTTTAAAAACTAGTTATGGGTAGTTTAGAAACTTTCCAGAGTTTTAAAAACACAGTTCTGTGTCTTACTATTTAGAGTACTACAGAGTTTGGTAATAAAGTTACCCTTGGAAACTGCTAAGAATTCACACATACATAATTTTTAACTGTGGGTAAGAACTAAGAACAAATTCTCAGAACCCAATCCCCAGATCTATTTAATATGAACTCAAAATCTGCTTTTAGTAAATTTCCCCAGTGATTCTTTTGCTAGAGTTTAAGAACCAATGAAACAGAGATTATTTGTTTTCAGCAGGCAATCACTGAAAGACATATTTTATGAATTTGGAAAAAATCCAAGTTCAATCAAGTTAGGGAAACAGAAGTAAAATCTATAATCTAGTCAACCATACTGTAAAGTGACAAATTGAAGTGCTGATGGAACAAAATGTTAGTCTGCAGGAAGCTTTTAAAAACAGAAATGTAGGGGAGTTTGGCAAGATGGTGGCAAAGAGCTGGTTTTGCCACCTCCATATATAGACAACTAAAATGCAGCAAAGCAAAATTAATAACCCCGGAAAATAAATGAATGACTACAAGCATCCATCAGGATGCAGGATCTGAAAGAACTAAGAAAACTGTAATTGAACTGTATTTGCAGCAATATGGAGGGGCGGGGCATAAATAAAAGAAGGAGAGGCAGTTGCTTTATGGAGGCTCCGTACAGCTGACTACAGGACGGACACATACTCACAAAGGGAACTTGAAGACATGGCATGGCACTGAAAAAGTGGGTACACAGAGTTGGCATCAGGATAAAGGAAAACTTTATCCATCAGGAAAACTACAAGTGTAGGTGCACTGAGTGATCCAAAGGCTCACATTTGGAACCTGTAACAACTTGGAGAACCCAGATAGATCACCTAAGTGTCCACATAGAAGAGGCTTTTATTTGAGCCTGAGACTATGCTAGTCAAAACAATGACTTACCACCACCCAGGGCCAAAATAAGACAACAAATGAATACTTTCACTAACCAGAATTTAAGCACCATGATCTTAACAACAGGAACAAGTACCCCCAGGAAAGTCTGAGTATGCTGCCCATACTCAGAAAACAAATGGAACAACTCCCAACTTGTAACCCTGTCTCAACTGTAACTTGCACTGCAGCCAGTGCTGTATCTAGTGTTCAAGCACAGTCTAAATGTTAAGGTTGGCTTGAGATTAGATGAGACACTTGGGCCAGGGAGCTGGCCTAAAGGGGATCACT